ACAACATACGACCTTGGTGAATCAACTCTTATAGCACACCGAGATGCAACGTTCCCCATACAAGGTGTCCCAAAGTAGGCAATGGCAGATGAAGAACCTCTCTAGCAGCGTCCTGGTAAGCAGCTACTTGACTAGTCACGAGCCGAGCTTTCAGGCAGTGTACACTTCCAATTGGGCACCTGAGATAGCGTATACTCCCGTCTTAGCACGCGGAGGAGTGCACACTTTCGACTAGGCCCACAAACGAGCATACATTCACGGTTGGGGCCACACTTCGATAGTCAACATGAGCAACCTTCCAGGCGAAGTGTTCATTCGCGGCTAAGCCTGCAAAGAGCATCTTCCACCTCACATCGAAGTAGGTAGTGCAACGGATGGTGAGAAGTAGTCACTCAATCTGGCTCAAGTTCAACCAGCAGTCTGCGAAGAATTCCCTTACCTACGAGGAACAGACCACATACACTGTTGTCGTGACATAGATGAGCCGAGCACGTAAAAGGGCAACCTAGACTAGCAAGTCAAAACTGGGGGTAGCCGAGAGCTCCGTTACCCCAACAAAAACAAATTTAGGAAAAGGTAAGAGGTTCTTAAACGAGCGATTGCGTGATTTCTAATGCAATGAAGTGGCCAATGAAGCACTACGACATGACCAACATGAGCATGTCCCTTTCGCAGGAGATCGAGCGGGCAAAGCCTCCACGCAAGTTTAGCATTCCATATTTCACATCTTTCAAAGGAGATGGAGATTCGAAGAGGTACTTGAAGCATTACCGAATCACAATGGTCCTTTATCGGAACAATGACGATCTTATGTGCAAGATATTCGCCACCACTTTACAAGGCGAGGCGCAAGTTTAGTTCTACGCCCTACTGCCACGATTCATTCGGAGTTTTGATGAATTTTCTTTGGTTTTCACCAAAGAACATTCATCCTATTGCCCGATCAAGAAAAGGTCCTACCACTTGTTCAACGTCAAGAAGAACCCAAAGGAGTTGCTTTGCGACTATATGAAGAGGTTCAAAGTAGAGAAGACAAAGATAGTCGGATGCAACGACTCGATAGCTAGAGCAACCTTCCAAAAAGGACTTTCAGCAAGTTTTGTCCTCGTCGCCCCAGAAGATTCTATATATGAGCAACATGTACCATTAAGTTAAGCACCACCTCTAGTTGCCTGTCACACGGCCCTAGCCGACCCTTACTCCATAATTCAACTCTACAGCGGTCCGATACCGACAGTTGAGCATCTTCTGCTACATGTAACATGGCCCCAACTCCACGGCTCCTTATCGCGGCTTCACGCCTAGCCTAGGCGACGCAACGGCGCTCCGGAGGTAGCCGAGCCCCTGGCCACGCCTACTTTGTCCGATGGAGACTTCTGGCATTTGCATGTCGACTATGCATCCAACTACAAAGGTTTGGGAACATGTGTGGTCGTTGTCATCCTAGACGGTTCAATGCCCTAACAGGCGATCACTCTAGGCTTTAAAATATCAAACAACGAAGCAGAGTACGAGGACTTGGCGGTGAAAAAGTTTGCAATTCATTTTGATTCCCAACTAATCACTAGCCATACTACGTGAGGCGTTTCAGACTTACACCCTTACTCAAGTTCTGTAGGCGGACAATGCTCATGCGGATGCGCTAGCCGGCCTAGGCTACGTCCTCAACCACCAACTCAAATGCTTAATTTCGATGGAGTATCTAGATTAGCCAAGCGTAGAGGCTGAGCCAGCAATCGAGGTGTCACAGGTTAGTCCAATTCCAAACTGGCAAGATTCCATTATAAACTACCTAGTCAATGACACACTCCTTATGGAAAGGTTGGAGTCTTGAAAGCTTCAAATAAAGGCAACACACTACTACATGTGTAACGACATTCTCCCCTAAAGATTCTACATGGGACCACATCTCCACTGCCTAGCACATCTTGACGAACTAAAGGTTCTAAGTGCAAACCACGAAGGCGTTTATAGAAATCACTTCGGAGGTCGATCTTTAGGGGATCTTAACGCATGCTACTACTAGCCTACCATGTATCAAGACATTAATAAGTTAGTGCAAAAGTACGACTGTTGCCAACGCTACAAGCCGGTACCAGCACTGTTTGCCAGTAAGTTACACCCACAGATGAGTCATTGGCTTTTCGACATAGTAGGGCCAATGCCGCCTGCTACTGGGGGCAAATGCATGATGATTGTGGCAATCGATTACTTCACCAAATGGGTAGAAGCAGAACCCATAATAACCACGACTTAGACGGACATAGAGCGCTTCATATGGAAGAACATCATTATCTGATTTGGCATCCCTCAGTCTATAGTCACCGATAATGGCTTGCAATTCGTAGGTAGAGATTTGGCAAAGTTCTTCTAAAAGTATGGCATCAAGTAGCACATGTCCACACCAAGATATTCTCAAGGTAATGGGTAGGCTAAAGCATCCAACAAGACCATCATCGACTGCCTCAAGAAATCCCTCTACGACAAAAAAGGAAAATGGCCAGATGAACTCCTCGGATGTTTATAGGCATATCACACCACCAAAAGATGAGCAACCGGTGAGACTCCCTTCTCTTTGGCATTTGGTTCAGAAGCAATCATTCCTCCCAACATTATCGTGCCAAGTATTAGCACTTTATTGCCAAGCATTGAGCATAACAGTAAGGAGATGACCACAAGCTTAGATCTGGTAGAGAAGAAGCGCAAGCAAACCATCATCAGCATTATAGCCTACCAGCAGCAACTCCTCTCCAGCTACAACAAAAGGGCCAAGATCCGACAGTTCCAGCCCCATCTCGTGGGCGTATGAGGCTTAAGTCTCTGATCAAAGGTGTTAATTGTTTTGTAGGTGCATTTTCGTCAAGACTGAAGGTGGCAAAAATTTGCATCCATAAATTGGTGTTTTCATTGAGAGCTGATTCAAAATACTCGAAGAAGCCTTTCGCATTTGTTTCTTGAATTTTCTGTTACGTTGAATTTCTCACACGTTTTATCAATTAATTTTTCCTAGAAAAGTTTATTGATCAATCTCTGGAGAAAGGATACAATGGTGAGAAATTCAGAAACTACGACGAACGGAACACCGTTTGTGCAAGGATTTGGACCAAAGAGTGGAGATGAGGACATAGCCCCACGACGGAGGTCCTCAAGGCTCAACATGACAGCAGGAGGAGCCCTACTGTCGCGAAGCCGCGTCATCATAGTCACCACCGTGACCCAGTAACCACGACACTAGTTCCACCTAACCCTAGGCAACCAAACCCTAGGCATGAGGCTCAGAACTTGGCAACTGCCATAGCGAGCCCCGGGTAGGAGACCCAACCTAATCAACAACTGGCCTTGTCACACAGCAGGCCCAAACCTGAGCCCAGAATTCGACAACTGCTGCTTGCCAAGCAGCTTAGCAGGCCCAAGCCCAAGCTACTTAGCCAGCATGCTAAGATGTGGCAAACCAACGGCCAGAAAAGCCCGGGACCATGCAGATCCAAGGACTGCCCGTTATGGGCTTGAGCTTTGAACTTGCAGTCTACTATACTTCCACCATACATGGAGACGCCCATAATTCAGGCTCTTCCAATCTAAATGACAAGCACCACCTGCCCCAGCAGGTTGCCAATTTGACAAACGCCTTTGCGCAGCAGACCATCTTGGTTAACCAACTCCTCGAGCGCATTGAGATGCAGCGCGCCCCTGACGAGGTGTCTTGAAGCAGGAGAAGGGCGAAAGAGCGTGTCATTCCAGCGACATCCCTGCAAAGAGCTACTCAGCCAGCCACAAACCGAATGTTTGGGCAGTGTACACTTTTGTTTGGGCCCTCGAGGAAACGTCTTATTCCGCCTAGATGTGTAGAAAAGTGTTCATTCTCGACTTGGCTCACGAGCCAGTGTGCACTCGAGGTTGGGTCCACACTTCAACGAGCACTCAAGACCTTCTAGAAGAAGCGTCCACACGAGGCCAGGCCCGCAATGAGATCCTCCTACAAGGTAATGGAATAGGCATCCGCATGACGCCTAGAGAAGAACGCGTAAGTAGTCCAGCTCAAGTTCCACTGGTAGCCCCCGCCTAGAGAAATGACGTGTAGCACAAGGCGAACTTCGTGCACCATAACTGCGGTATAGACAAGCAAGACGAGCCAAAAAGTAACATGGACGAGTGGGTCAATATTGGGGCCAGCCGGAGGCTCCGCTGCCTCACCAGTTGCAAATCTAGGAGGAAGTACAAAGGCTTGTAGCAGAGCAACTGCTCATATTTCGTCACATTGACACTACCGATGATGCCCTTCGTAGAGATGTGGCTAACTTGAGCAAGTCACCATTAACAGACGAGATCGAGTGGACGGAACCACTGTAGAAGTTTAACCCGCTACATTTCACCTTGTTTAGGGGAGATGAAAATCTGGACAGACACTTGATGCACTATCGAAGTGCTATGACCCTCTACGCCAACAATGATGCTCTCATGTGCAAGATCTTTGCCACGACGCTACAAGGTAAAGCGCAAGATTGGTTTCACTAAGGAGTATTCGCTCTACCGTTCGATCAAGAAAAGATCTGACCACCTTTTCAGCATGAAAAATGACACGAATGAGTCACTCCGTACTTGTGTCAAGAGATTCAAAGCAGAAAAGGCAAAAATCGTCGGATACGATGATAGCATCGCATGCTCAGCTTTCCGAAAATGACTCCTAGCAAATCACCCATTTTTTGGAGAATTGATTATAGGCGAGAACCTGTCCCTGACAAACTCTTATGCTTTGGCAGAAAAGTACTCCCTCTAGGACGAGGAAAAGCGCTCATAGAAGCCGCTTGAGCAGCCACGGAGAGCTGCAGAACCAACTCAGAAGAAGGCGAGCAATAAACTGCTCAACATCAAAAGCAAACCAGGAGACAAGCGCAGGAACCAGTCGCTAGTGAAAGAAGGCACAGCTCCCAATCTTTTGCGACCTCAAGGACAAGCCATGGTTCAAGTTGCTGCCGCCTATAAAGGGTGACACCTCAAAGATGGACCAGACCAAGTATTGTGAATTCCACAAGGGTCCTGGGCACACAACCAATGATTGCGCCACATGGAGGAGGTACCTCGAGCAACTCGTGAAGGAAGGCAAGTGCGACCAGTACATCGATAGACTGGCTAAGGCGAGAAGCAAATGCCGATGCCAAACCCCCAACCAAGACAATCCAAATCAACAGAATCTTTGCCGAATTCCAGCATCTGGGGGCCACCAATAACTCTAAAAAAAGGAAGATCCAGCAGGCAAGATCGGTCAATCAGGTTCAAGCCATAGATGTTGTACCTAGACCAATCGTCAGCTTCACCAAGCAAGACACTGAGGGAGTAGACTTTCCCCACGACGACTCTCTAGTGATTTCTGTACAACTGGCCTACGTCATCGTTGACAGAGTCATGGTGGACAATGGCAGCTTAGTCAACCTCCTACAATTGTCACTTATCCAGAAGATGGGCCTGGAAAGCACGGTCAAATGCAAAGCAAAGATCTTGATCGGATTTAACGGACATACCTCAACTGCCATTGACAACTTCACACTTGATGTAACCAGCCTGATGATCATCTCGTCGCAAACCTTCATGATTGTTAACAGCCCATCTCCTCACAACGAGATATTGGGCCGACCCTGGCTAGTGAAGATTGGAGTTGTGACCTCGGTTGAGTATCAGAAAATCTGATTTCGCATACCAGGAAGAGTAGTAAGGCCATGTCCAGGCAATGCACTATACAAGTTCTCAAGGAGTCAAAGAAGAAATCTTTCGCCCCAGCAGTAGCAGCTGAAGTGTAGAAAGACGACTCAACCTCCTCTAAATAATAATTACAGCAGGCATGTCAAGAAGATGGCGTTAAGGTCGACAATGCCCTGGAAGATGAGTCAGGATGGAAACCCAAATAAGACGTCGAAAGCATTATTCTTGACCCCCACCAGCCGAAAAAGACGGCTAGAATCGACTTACGTTTGAGCTCAATAAACAAAGAAGAACTCACGGCGTTCCTTAGGGAAAATCATGACATCTTCGCATGGTCACCGTCTAACATGCATGTCGACCTTGCTACTAAACCTGTGGTCCAAAAAAGGTGACATTTCACACCCGAGTAAGTAGCGATCATTAAGGTAGAGATCAATAAGCTACTGGAGGCCGGATTCATTAAGGAAGTGGCACATTCAGCATGGCTAGCCAACGTCATGCTAATAATGAAAAAAGAGAAGGGCAAATGGAGAGTATGCGTGGATTACACCGACCTCAACAAGGCATGCCCTAAAGACAACTACTCGGTTCCCCGAATCGACCTTCTCGTTGACTCAACATCCGGGAACCAGTTGCTTAGCTTCTTGGACACATATTCAGGCTACAATCAGATTGCCATGCAGAAGCCTGACAAAGAAAAAACTACATTCGTGATCAAGCGAGGCACATATTGCTACAAGGTCATGCCTTTTGGCCTCAAGAACGTAAGAGTAACCTACCAGCGGCTCGTAAACACGATGTTCAAGAAGCAGTTCGGGGTCACCATGGAAGTCTACGTCGACGACATCATGGTGAAAGGCAAGCAACGGTCAGGCCATATTCGTAACTTGGCAGAAACTTTTACCATTATTTGAGAGTACAACATGAAGCTCAACCCAGCCAAGTGCACATTTGACTTTTCCTCAAGCCTATTCTTAAGGTACTTTGTAACCCAACGAGGCTCATCCAAGGCAGATCGAAGTGATCCTAGACATGAAATCGCCTTCAACTTTGAAGGAGATCCAAAGTCTGATCGAACGAGCAGCTGTACTCAATCGCTTCCTTTCACGATTTACCGACCTATGCAAGCCTTTCTTCAAGGCAATCAAAAGGGCGCAGAAGGACAAATGGGATGATGAGTGCGAAAAAGTATTTCAAGACTTGAAGTAGTACCTGACATCACCTCTACTACTATCCAAACCGGAAGCAGCGGAGAACCTATATATCTATCTGGCGGTATCAGAAGTAGCAGTAAGCTCTGTCGTCATATGAGAAGAGCTAGGGGCCCAACTGCCTATTCTACACATCCAAAGCTCTCTTCGATGCGGAAACCAGATACCCAAAGATCGAAAAACTAATTTTGGCGCTAGTTGTTGTAGCTCGAAAGCTCAGACCCTACTTCCAAGGGCTTTTGGGCATCGTTATGACCCAATACCCACTGCAATTAGTTTTGCGGAGTCCAGACGCTTCTCAGCCAGTAATGAAATGGGCGTTGGAACTTCATGAATACGGCTTAGCATACCAACCCCGCACGGTAATAAAAGCCCAGGCATTGGCAGACTTTATAACATAATTCACCCCGAGCCTGAAGGATACAGTAACACAGCTCGGAAGCGTCCCGGAGGTAGCCTAACATGCCATAGCCGTACCTGCCCCACTGATGTGATAAATAATAGCACTCAAATTAAACCCTCTTATTGACAATTGTAATATATATGCAAGTAGGGATCATTCTAGGCCGGGGATTAGGAGGGATTGCTAATCTACTCTAAACTGACTCAAAAACACAAAACAAGGCTAAAAACACTTAACCAGACTCAAAGAACTCAAAACAAACTGAAAAGACTCGAAGCTAACTAGAATGACTCAAAACAGCACAAGGCAAGCAAATAAACTCAAAATAGACTCTAAGGAGTTATTTGGACGAATTCTAACTTTAATTTGACTCAAAACAATAAAACACACAAAGTAGGACAGATTCTAACTAGTTTAACACTCTAAAGTAAAAGGGATTGGGTTTTGGATGAAATTAAAGTGAAAACAAGTGAATTAAAGACTTAAACAAAGTTGGATGAATTTAGTGAATTAAATGCATGATGGTCTAGCTAGAGGGTCATTTTCCACACATGACACACTTGCATACAAATCAATCTCCAGTTGCTTTTTCGATAAACCATGAATGACAATGCCCCAGATTAACCGTAACATCACTAAGTAACCCTCAGATTTTCCTTAAGTCATTGAATTGGATAGGATACGCATCATCAACCCAAATTATTCTTCAATAGTCCCTTACATGCACATCATAATAGAGATACAATCAAAGATCATTAAGTTCTATGAAAATCATAAGCATTGACAAAACATTCGTAACTATGACATCATGATACTCATGTTAGGAATTTAACTTAACGTGATCGTGACCAGCGACCTTCACTACTTGTGAATATAAGTTTGTAACGATTATGTGAAACTCCCTTATATTCTAGTATCAGATTCAAGCATGCAAACTAAGTATGCCTCCTTAATCAACATACAAGAATAAATTTTGAATAAAACAGTTAAGCAAATTGCATTCACATTTTATGAAATCGCAACTGGAATTAGTTAATTCATAATGCAAATATGTTCATGGTTTTGAAATTCCTCCTAGCTAAAAGGGGTTTAGCTTCTCATGTTCACAAAACAAAGATAAACAAACTTAAACATTGAAATCAAAAGATAGATTAGACCTAAGAATGATCCAGCAATCCAAACTTGAATAACAAGCACTCTAAGGGTCCTCCTTCTTCTCTTTGTTGCGGCACAAGGGTTAGGTGAAGGTTTGAGTGGTGCTTTGCATGGAAAAATGGTTGAAAGTGTGAATGGTAGTGAATGGATGTGTTGATGGATGCCCAAAAACTGCGGCAAAATGGCTTATTTATAGGGAAAAGAAAATCATGGCTGGGAATTAAATTTGGAAATGTTTTAATGCTCCAAATCCTCTAAGAAAAAGGTAACAAGTCAGAATCCCAAAAGGAAAAGGGAATGTAGGGTGCGGCAGGATCCTAGAGGGATAAGGGAGAGGGATATGCGGTAAAGGGAAGGGAAACTAGGCTTGCCTTGCATGGCAAGGGAAAAGGAAAAGGGAAGGAGGTGCGACGTCCCTATTTGACTCGGATTGTCTATCTAGGAACATGTAATTAAGTGTCCTAATATCTTTAGAGATCCTCCTTGTAGCTGGAAATTAAGTGGTGAAGGATTAGGAAAGTTTAGGACAAAATAAGGTATTTGGCTAACATTCATTCTTTCTTGATTGCATTCTTAACTTTCTGTTTCTTGAATTAATTTCTTCATAACTTTAGCATAATCCTAGCCTCTTTTGGTTTTCAATTTCGTCCATCCACCTTGCTCCAAGCATGTGCCATCCATTGCAAACCAAAACTCTCCAAAAAGCTCCAAAATGCACTTTCTTGCTATTTTAGCCATTTGGACCTACAAACACACGAAAATAACTTAAAATACTAAAATAACTATAAACTAACAATATAAATGCAAGAAAACAAGCTAACTAAGTCACATATATGCTCTTATCACCCACCTGATGGAGATTTTTGGCGTTTGCAGGTTGATGGATCATTCAACCATCAAGGATTGGGAGTATGCCTAGTTCTCACTATCCCAGATGGCTCAATACTTGAGCAGGCGATCACTCTGAACTTCAAAGCATCGAACAATGAAGCAGAGTATGAAGCTCCTACTAACAGGTTTTCGATTAGCAAAAGACTTAATGGTAAAGAAGCTTGCAATCTATTTCGATTCCCAATTGATCACCAACCAAACTTCAGGGGAGTACGCAGCAAAACATCCAAGAATGGCCCGATACCTCGAGAAGTTACGAGAGCAGCTAGCGACGTTCCAAACATATACACTCACTCGAGTTCCACAGGCAAAAAATGCCCATGCAAACGCACTGACAAGCCTAGGTTCCGTATTAGACCATCAGCTCAGATGCTCAATCATGATCGAGTACCTGGAGAAGCCAAGCATAGATGAGGAACCAGCAAGCAAAGTGGCGCAGATCAGCATGGCCTCGAGTTGGAAAGATCCCATCATCAACTACATAGTCAATGGTACACTTCCCGCAGACAAACTGGAGTATAGGAAGCTTCAAATAAAGGCGGTACACTACTACATGTGGAACGGCATGCTTGTTCGAAGATCTTTTTCAAGACCACATCTCTGCTGCCTATCGCCTCCCGACGACCTGAAGAATCTTAGCTCAATCCACGAAGGCGTCTATGGAAACCATTCCGAAGGCCGATCCTTGGTGCAGAAAGCTCTCAACGCTGGTTATTATTGGCTGACCATGCATCAAGACGCTAAGGAGTATGTACAAAGGTGCGACAGTGTTTTAAGCCTATGCTCGCACTACCTGCCAACGAACTTCATCCGCAGACAAGCCCATGACCATTCATGTAATGAGCGATTGACTTGGTAGAATCAATGCCGCCTGCTACTGGGGGCAGAGGCATGATGATCATAGTTACTGACTACTTCACAAAATGGGTCGAAGCCGAACCAATGACCACAACTACCCAGACAGACATAAAGCGCTTCATATGGAAGAACAACATCTGCCGCTTCGGCATCCCATACTCTATTGTCACCGACAATAGCCCACAGTTGTGGGCAAAGACTTGGTAAGATTCTTTGAAAAATATGGCATCAAGCAGCACATATCCACGTCCCGATACCCACAGGGCAATGGGCAGGTCGAAGAGTCTAACAAGACTATCCTCTACTGCCTTAAGAAGCCCCTCTCAAATAAGAAGGGCAAGTGGCGAAAGGAGTTCCCGGTGTTCTATGGGCATATCGCACCACCAAAAGGCGAGCAACCGGTGAGACTCCATTCTCCTTGGTGTATGGTTTTAAGGTGATTATTCCTCCCAATGTCGTAGTGCCAAGCA